AAAAAAGAGAGAGAGAGAAAAAGGAGCAAAAGTCACGGTTCTGGCACGTTGATAGCGAGCCTCCAAGCGCTCCTATCCACCACTAAATCCTTGGAGATATTCCAATCTTTAAGGTCTCTCTTAACCGACTCTTCCCAAGTGAGTTTAGGCCGACCTCTACCTCTCTTAACATCCTCGACCCGCTGTAGAACTCCCCTACGCACCGGCGCATCAGGAGGCCTCCGTTGGACATGTCCGAACCACCTCAGCCGATGTTGAACCAATTTCTCCTCAATTAGGGTCACCCCGACCCTATCTCGAATATCCTCATTCCGGATTCTATCCCTTCTTGTGTGCCCACAGAACCAACGCAACATTCGCATCTCTGCTACACTTAGTTGTTGCACATGTTGCCTTTTTGTAGGCCAACATTCAGCACCGTATAGCATCGCCGGGCGAATCGCCGTCCTATAGAACTTACCTTTTAGCCTTTGTGGCACCCTCTTATCACAGAGAACGTCGACGCCTGACGCCATTTCAACCAACCGGCTGCAATTCATGGCTAACATCAGCATTAATGCCGCCATCCTTTTGTAGCATCGATCCCAAATACCGAAAAGTCTCCTTCTTGGCCACCACTTGCCCGTCAAGGGTAACGTCACCATCACCATGTGAAGCCATGCTGAAAGCGCACGTCATGTACTCGCTCTTTTTAATCAATCAAGATTTCACCATTACAAAGATATTAATTGCCTCTTTGGCTTTGTCATATATATATATATATATATATTATATATAGAATGTGGCTTAAATGAGAATCAAGTCCTAGTGTGAGAACCGCTATTTTTAATTGTATGCAGTGCTATGATTGATTGTATTTTAGTGTTATTTTTAATTGTATGCAGTGCTATTTTTAATCAGGACGTATTTTATTAAAATAGCAACACAATTTAGGTTAGCATTTGTAAAAATGATAGCACCATGTAAGATTAAAAATAGCATCAACACAATTGAAAGTAGCATCAAATATGGTTCTCACGGTTCTCACACCAGGATTAGTTTTA